TGATATTGTCTATGACTATCACTATCAGCTACGAAAATACGAATTGAGAATACTTTTTAAGCGTGGAAATACTGAAGTATATTTCATCGGTTTCAGTATATATTAGCAATGTTTTTGCCTTTATTGTAATTTCACATGTAAAATTGTATTATGATCAGTTACATATACGATAAATAAAATGATCTAAAGTACTTTGAAGCGAGTGTTTTTTGCTTTTTGAATTCTGATGTGTGAAAACACGCGGGAATAACGAGTGCATGTTTAATCGTTGGTTGTCATGTCAACTGCGGACTTGCTGCAAGTCTGTTATCATCGCCATTGCTGCAGCTCTGTCGACATCAAATTGCTGCAAGTCTGTTGTTATCGCCATTGCGACAGGTCTGTTAACGACAACTTGCAGCAAGTCTGTTGTCATCGCCATTGCGACAGGTTTGTCGACATCAAATCGCAGCAAGGCTGTTGTCGTGCTGATGCGGGCAAGTATCGTCAAGCCGCAACAAGCCGAGCGAACGCTTCTGAGATGGGGCTTGATGGCAACAATTCGCATGCGGCCTGATGACAGACTTGCTGCAAGTTGCGCGAACTTCGCCGTGTAGGCCTTCGTCCATATTTTGATACCATTGATTTGTCATTTTTAGCAATGCAGTGACAGTGGTGTGAAAAGGTCTGAAGCCATGTTGTGTACTTGTTAGAATATTAGACTGTTGCAAATAGGAATAGAGTTGGTTGTGTGCAAGTGTCTCCATTGTTTTGGCAATTACCGAAATAACCGATATAGGCCGATAATTGTCCATATTGGATTTAATACCGTTTTTGTAAATTGGAGATACTCTAGCAATCTTCCAGGAGCATGGAAATATGCCAGTTGACATAGACCTGTTAAAGATTGCTGTAAGAGATTTGGTTATGTAAGGAGCAGCCAATTTAATAAGCTTTGCTGGTAATTTGTCCAAACAAGATGCTTTAGTAGTTGATAATGTTGATAATAATTCGTAGAATTCCTGTTCTGTTATATCGCAAAAAGCAAATGCCTGTGTAGCTTCGGTGATATAACTCTCTGGTGGAGTAGAACATGCAGGAATATTTTGGGATAGTATATAACCACAGGGCCGTAGCAACCGGGGGGGCTGGGGGGCTGCAGCCCCCCCCCAATAATTTGCTAATAATCATTCTTTTTTCAAAATCATGCAAACTTTATCATTTAATCTGTGACAAACTGCAAAGAATGAAGATATTACTCATACTCCAGATCGTTCCTCGCGTAGAAATTTCAGCTGAATTTCTGTCGCGCATTTTCAAGAAAATCCCACAAAATCTGCACATTTTTGATGAACTAATGATTTATTTTGTCTTTTGCGTGTTGGGTCTTGCGAAAGAAAACTCTGAAAATGCTATTTCAGACCATCTAGAGACTCCAGATTTTCGAAATTTTCTCAAATGTTCTGCCTTCATTTCCGCGCAACTGCCATTTACGACGAAAATTCCTGCCGCGCATTTATAATACTACAGTCTGGCCCATACTTTCCTGTAAATTTCGACATACTAAAACGCTGTTTTCTGACTATCAGAATTCTGTTAAATCTTCCCCCAAAGTCCAGGAAATGGCATTTTAGAGACTCTAAATTTAAAAATTTCCTCGGGCCGAAGGCCCTCGCTTTCAGCCCCCCCAATCGAAAAGAGCTTCCTACGGCCCTGAACCAAGATCTGTGAAGTGATTGTTAAAAGCTTCAGGTATATCATTTATATCGATTGGTTCACCGTTTTTATTGCAGATTTCATTCACATTTGAAGACAATACAATAAATGTACAGTACTGTATGGAAATGAGCTCTTTTAACTTGTTGTAAAAGGCATCAGATCTTTCATTTACTTGTGCCTTCAACAATTAATATGCATGCCTATTTAACCCATTAAGCTGCAGAGTTTCCTGTTGACGAGTAAAATCGTCTGGCGTTAAACCAGTAGAAAAATAAGCAGGGTGCACTCGGGCGCAATGGGTTAACTGGAGACATTGTCAGATTTTTTGGTTAACCCATTAAGCTGCAGAGCGCCGAAGAGGAGGGGGTCATATCATTTTTCGCTACTAAGAGTGTAGTAAAAAGTTGCTCAAAAAGGAAAAAGTTGCTTGAAGTTGCTCGAGCCGACAAAAGTTGCTCCAAACGCAAAAAGTTGCTCAAAAGTTGCCGAGCACAATCGGGACATGCCTAGCAGAGCTTCCGTTGACGAGTAAAATCGGTTAGGAGTATAGGGTTAGAAGTAGGATTAGGGTTACAGCGGTGCCGTAGGAAGCTCTTTCTGAATTTTTCATATTAGCTGCGCGCATTGCATTTTGGGTATTTGTGCATTGCATTTTGGGTCTATTTGTTGATTAAAATTGAGAATTTTGCTAGCTATACATGAATTAAATTTGCTGCCTTGCTCGCTCCATGTGCATGGTATAGCAATGATCGTTACATTTCAAATTTTTCTCTACTATAGTACCACTATAATAAATAACTGGACCCCCCTTCTGAATTTTTGAAAATTACTTCGCCAATGGCAATGAACTTACTAGACTGATCGTTTTTGAAGCAATTTAAAACATTCGCAGTGCGTGTTTTATCAGATCTAAAGATACTCGGCTTCGCCTCGTATCTTTATATCTGATAAAACACTGCTGTTTTAAATAGTACAAAAATAATAACACAACCAAATGAATTTGCTTTCAGGATGCTTTATTATAATTGATACAACACAACAGATTAATATTAATTATACTAAAGTACTAATCTTAGTTTCGGACATTGTGCATGCACTTGGATAAAATCTGATTATTGATAAATGTTTTCATAGACAATATTTCCTGAGTGCTTTCAACAACCTCGTTCCTTTATGCTTTAGAAAGTAGGATCATCTCATCAGAACCTGGAGAACATAATTCACATCCCGTACAACAGCGATTTCCAGTGCGGCATGCAAAGCAGTTAACATAACATTTCTGAGAAGCTAGAAATACAGCAAATCAAGTGAGTTAATTACATCTTAAATCTTAGATTACATAGAGAATAATACATGGGTAGTAGATTTATTTCGAAACACGAGAAATAAATCTGGTATTTCCAAGCACCCATGTATTTTTCTGTTTATTATATAAAGGACAGTCTTTGAAAAGCGATAATTTTTACAGAAAAGCGATTATTGAAAAGCGATAATTTTCACATGTGAGATTATCATAAATAATCTCACATGTGAGATTATCACTTTTATCAGTGCTCGAAATCTCTATAAAGCACTATATACTTTATATAATAAATGTAATTAAAACTAACATTTCGACAGTTACATTATTGTCCTAAACTTAATTAAACTAATTTCATTATACAGCCTGTGCGAAGCGCCTGGGCACGAAGCAGGCATTCAAGCTAATAGTATAGGCTATATATCGGAAGATGACGCAGAAATATGGAATTATTGGAAATTCTGGATCTTACACTTTGGCATGAAATATGAAATAATTGAAAATTTTGTCTCCTGCTCAACGGAATGAGGATGTTTTCCAAGCGTGATGTGGAATATTTTCAAAACGGAATTTTGCAGAACTTGATTCTAATTTACTCTGATGAAATTTTTAAACTCCAAGATTTCTCAGGAGTGCATGTAGAAGAGGGAGGCTCAGCTCCCTTTGTTATAAGATCATGCAGGGGGGCTGCATGAGCCCCCTTTCATGCCGGTTTGGGGGGCTGATCTCTAAATATATTCTCATATTGCATATTCATGCATAACCAGTAAAATATTCTTTGCAATTGAACTGCATGTATATATATATAAATAGTATTGAAATGATGCGGTAATGATGTTAGTAATTTGTACAATATTATCATACTTTTAGGTCATGTATATGGCTCCAACATGAAATAAGTTCGGTATTTATATCGGAATCTTTTATTTGAAGTTAAGTCCTTTCTTCAAGAAGCTTTAATAAATTGAAGAATTACTGGAACCAAATTAAAATGTTTATCATGTTGCACCCACCACGGCTTGTCCACCATCACGTCACCGCCCTATCCCCTTGTATAGTATCATTTGCCTTATGCTTGTCTCGAAATAAAATGTATAACATAAAATTTAAAAATAAAATATTTCACAAAACGTAAACATAACGCGCCATTAACATTACCATAGTCACATGCAATTGGGCTTTTTGATGCGCATGTATGATATTCGCCACTGCAACGTGTACGGCAGTAACTCTGCTGAGCAATAATCAACACCAGAAAAACTGCAATCTTCATACTCTTCATACTCTTCATTCCTTAAAAGATTAAATACATCAATTAACTAGAAATAAAGCAACATTATATTATTTGTATAAGCGGCCTTTTATGAAGTAAGGCTGCTTTACTCTGTCAAAGTTTCACGCCTCAGTGTTGAACAGCGAGACTGGTACGTCCCTCAAACATTTCTTACAAATTCTTCAAAACGTAGAATTTACCTATACAAAATTCCTACTGTGATCACAGAAACTTTTAACTTGATAGTGTAAACCAGGCTTTAGAAATCAATCGGTTATATATTATTGTGATCGACCAGTCTTGTGAATGATAACGGGGCTTTGTGTGGGGGCGCACTGATGGAATCTTGCATTATCATTAATAAATTAAACAACCATTCATTTTGTTGTCTGTCCAAATTGTTGAATTTGTTTCAGTGGAGTCACTGGAGTGAAGTGTACAAAATTACCCAACATCGCAGTGAGAAACTCTTCTCTACAAGGTATTTTACTCCATATATATAACGTTCAACCTCATAATGTAAAATAATATATAATCGGTAAAATATGTATATAATAATTTCACACCAACTGACATAACTTACCTCTTAAGTGAGTTACAGAAATTTTACGGACGAAGAAGCTCTTGATATATGTGTTTAGTTCTGCTGCAAAATGCTTGGCTTGTTATATATCAGACTTATCCGTATAGTTATGAATTATGTATACGTGGTAATATTGACAAAGCTGAAACCATTACAGATGGATTCAGCTGGGCAGCTGTATATAATTGATATGATGTGAAATATTGTATAGAGTGGCATAAGCATCCTTCAGTTTAGTTTATATGTAGACATGTGTCAACTGTCAAGTTTATATGTAGACAGTAACTATATATATATATATATATATATATATATATATATATATATATATATATATATATATATATATATATATATATATATATATATATATATATATATAGGTCGCCGGTTCGAATTCGACTTAGTCCCAACTTTTCCTGTTCACTAAAAAATACTTTCCTACGGTGATTAAATGCATAGGCCTATATAAAAAATTATAGATGCCACATGTCATGTATATATATATATATAAGCTTTGATATTAGGTTTGGCAATGCCAAACGAAGTCTCCTCGAGGGTGAAGGATCCAAATAGGATTCACAGCAAGTACTGTCGTATATATAAAAATCAATTTAAAAATCAGAGACTATGCAACTTCGACCATCAATTTATTAAAAAAACTGATAAATATTAAAATAAAAGCTTAAAAGTTAAAAACGTTTCGGCAGTTCTGCCTAATATATATATATATATATATATATATATATATATATATATATATATATATATATATATATATATATATATATATATATATATATATATATATAAATTAAGGTACAACAAATCAACAAAATCCACTAGGCATCTTTATAACTAAATAGTTTCGTACCACAGTATGTGGCACTCTTCAGATAAATTGACCTATTGACTATATATATATATATATATAAATATATATATATATTAAAAATGTTAAAATTGTAACCAGGATTAGACATATTATTGAGATGTAGAAAGGTTTGACACTAGTTTGATAAAAACGTTAAAAACTACGTTTATTTAAAAATATGTTAAGACGCTTCGACAAGTGACTTAGGTCTTCGTCAATTAAAAAGTTGACTAGGTTCAAAACTGAACAATATATACAGGTTCAGAGTTAATTAGCAGATAAGTGTTTTATACACATCCGGTATCTCGACATGGTCGTTTCCTGCGTTATGATCCTTGAGGGAATACCAAGCCTCTAAGA